CATCCCTCCCGTCTTCCCATCTCCCCTTCCCTCCTTTCCATCCCTCCCATCCCCCTTCCCTCCTCCCCATCCATCCCTCCTTACCTCCCTCCCTCCCTCCCTCCTCCCACCCCTTCCCTCCTCCCCAATCCCTCCTTCCCTCCTTCTTATCCCTCCCTCCCTCCTTCCCTCCTTCATATATTTGGAAGCGACCTGTTGCTTGTCCTTCAGCGCAACACCTGATCTTAAAACAGCGCAGCGGAGAGCAACAAACTCAAGCCAGAATTATTGCACATCTCTCAAATTTCAACGCTAGCATTTCACTTCACTAATTGCTCAAACTTGTTGTCTCGTCTGCTGAACACGTTGTTGTTGGCGTTAAGTTGTTTTTTGTTGTTTTGGTGTTGTTGTTTTGTTGGTCTTCTTGCTGTTGTTTTTTGTTGCTTTGGTTGTTGTTTTTTTGTAGTCTGTATTTTTTGTCTTGTTGTTTTTCGTAGTCTTTGTATTTGTTTTTGTTGTTGTTTTTCTTGTGTAGTTTTGTTTTTCTTGTAGTTATCTTGTTTTTTTGTTTGTTTAATTGTTTTGTTGTCGATGTGTTTACTTTTGATGTTTCGGCCTTTCCTTTTCTTTTGAGGAAATTAATTCGTTTTTCTTTCTATATCTTTATCATTTGCACGTGTCTGTAAGCCGTCTTTTCATACATTATTCATCATCATTATTTCTGTATTATCTTATCATTCATGTTACTTATATCAGTATTTTCTTCATCTAATCTAATACCCTTTTCCTTTATCATTGGCATCAAATACGCCAATTTTTTCCGAATATGTTGGTATTTATTGTTATCACGAATACTGCTATTTCTTATATTATTATTTTCCTTCTCTTCATATCATCGCTAGCTTTTATATCATTATCATTATCTTTATCGTATCATTCTCGTCCTAATTTAATTATTTTCATTTTACTAGTCTCTTTATCCTCATCATTACTGTCACTATTTTATCATCGTTACCATCATCGATATTTCATTGCCATTATTATCATTATTTCATTGTCAATATTTCAGTCATTCTTATTGGATTATAATGACATCATCATCATCAGTAAGTTTTTGATATTACTATGTTTACTATCTTATTGTTATTATTGTCATTATGATCTTGCCATCATAATTACCATTATCTCTTATCATTATCCTTTCCATTATCTTTATCACTATCATTGCCATCATCTTGATCATTATCACCTCCATTATCATCTAAATTAGCAATGACAGAAGGATAAATACAGCAATTCATAACTGCGCTGTTAATATCGCTCCCCCTTATCTTGACAATCAATCTTATCATTTCTGTCATTAATTCCTGTCATCAGCACTCCCATCCCAATTCCATTTCGCTAAACACGCCAGCCATGCAACGGAATGCAACGGCCGGACCGCGAAGAGCCTCTTGTGTGGCCACGCCCTCGAAGCAAGCCATGTTGCTCGGCGTCGCAGCGGCTTGCACGGGCTTCCTCGCGCGGTGATCGTCGACGGTCGGGAGATGGCGTTGCGGGTTTCCCTCTTCTTCTCCTTTACCCTCACCCTTCCTTCCACCTCTGTTTTCGCTTCCTTCTCTCCCTTGCCTACTCTCTCTTCCTTCCCTTCTCCTGACCTTCCCTTTGCCTTTTCCTGCCTCCCCTTGCCTTTTTCCCCCTTCCCCTGCCCTTTCTCCCTGCCCTTCCCCTTGCCTTTCTCCCTGCCCTTCCCCGTGCCTTTCTCCCTCCCTCAATCATCTCGTCTAGCAAGCTTGCTGACCTGCGCTCAGATCCCACGTAGCCAGCGGATGGTAGCCATTCTTTGCATCCAAAGGTTGATTTAGAAGCATTATAAACAGACGGCCTGTCACACCAAGAATAACCACTGTAACAAATGGAATCAGACTTAAGTATTACTATCATTATAACCCTTCTTATCCTTCCACCCCTTCCCTTCACTCTCCCGTCACCCCTCACCCCTCACCTCTCCCCCTCATCCCTCACTCTCCCCCTCACCCCTCACTCTCCCCTCACCTCTCACTCTCCCTCACCCTCACTCTCCCCCCCTTACTCTCCCCTTCACCCTCACTCTCTCACCCTCACTCTCCCTCACCCTCACTTCCCCTCACCCTCACTCTCCCCTCACCCTCACTCTCCCCTCACCTCACTCTCCCCTCACCCCTCACTCCTCTCACCCCTCACACCTCACTCACCCTCACACCTCACTCTCCCCTCACCCTCCCTCTACCCTCACTCTCACCATACCCCTCACTCCCCTCACTCCTCATCCTCCCCTCACCCCTCACCCTCCCCTCACCCCTCACTTACTGTGGAATATCCCTGGTGATGTTCTGCATGTCCCTCTTGGTGCAGCAGTACTTGAAGTTATTCGTTCCGCAGCAGTACACAGGTTCCTCCGTCTCCAGGCTCGGGCAAGGGAACCCATTGCTCCACTTGCCGAAGGTGTCGATGTAGCCTGAGCAGTAATCCTCCCCCAAGA